ACAGTCTCAGGCTGCAGTCTCACAGGGATAATTAAATATTGCAATATTTGTAAGAACCTAATCCCTTCAAATATTAAATACTAACATCAAGTTTCCTTGGCAAATAGCAACAATTATTTAAAAATTCATTAGAGAATAATTATTTCATAATCTCGAAAAATCCCGTAAGCTCATAGAAGCTGAAGTTTAAGGTGCTACAATTTAATGTATTACAATACATGTACATTTTACATTCATAGTCCTGCTTTTGGACTAGTTGGTTAAAATAAATTCATAGCATTTCCCTGACTTCCAACTGAGATTGCTGAACACAGTTGTAGTACCACATGACTGCACATTGTTTAACTCTATTTCACAATCTCTCTATACTTGTCTCATTATTTAAAATGTATTGTTTTTTGAACCAATGAAAGCCACTTGAATTTGTATGTCTGTGAGGTAAAATTTAATGAAAAAAATTTTTAACTGAAGTACAGAATTAAATGTGAACTATTGACTTGAGCATAGTCAATAGTCTTTAAAATCCTTAAATCATGAAAATGCAACTTGTCTTTCTAATATATTCCTAATGTATGTATTTTGTAATGTATTCTAATGAGATTCTCTAGTCAATCCTGAACCTTCTTTTTCTCTATCAACACTTTTTTGTTTTAAAGAATAAAATACAGGCAGTAATAAATGTATGTTATTTTAATCAGAGTGGTTAAGCTATCAGTATAAGTTAGTCTTTCAGCACTAAAAACTTCATTTAAAATAATTCTGTAAAATCAGGTTCACAAGATTAAAACAGCATAAAGTTACACAATTGCCTAGTGAAATCACAATATGCTAACATAAAGGAGAAAGAATATAAATCTGATTTTAGTTTTCAATTGTTTGTTGTTTAAAATAAGACAATCAGATTATCTCTAGAGAGAAATAGAAAGGGAAGAGTCATAATGCTGGCATTTCTTTTTCTTCAGCCAGCAGAAAAAACATCATATTGATCAAGCATGAATGAAAATTCTAATCATTGCTTTTTAAAGCAGGTCTTATTAAAGTCACTGGACTGATTTTTCAGAATTTAGTGTACAGACAGACAATGTTTATGTATGCTTTATTGATACAGTCTAAAACTAGCCTCTGATTTTCACAGAGCACTTACTGGACAATAATTTTCTTGAGTGTTTATGGATTGAAAAAAGAAAATGCTACATTCTCTGATTATTTTAGATTTTTAAAATTAAAAACATAAATTCAGACAGTTTTACAATTAATAAGTCAAGACATTTCTAATCCTTTCTAAGAAATTATAATTGACTATTCTGTTTTCTGTTTCCCATCTTTAGAGAATGTCTCAAAGGTTTATAAAACCATATAAAAATCATCCATTTATTTTTCAAAATTTGACTGGCTTGGAAAGTTTTGTTTTGACCAATTATTGCAACTTTAATAGCGTGCAATTTAAATAGCTACAAACTTATTCAATTTGAGATAAACAATCAACTAATCACATATCAAATCTACTACAACACCCAAACATTTTGTAATAAAAGATTTTCTCAATAATCTCAGAAATGTTCCCATTGCATGAAGCTAGAAGGCAATTCAAAATCAAATTAATATGCTGAAAAAGAATCCCAAGCCATGCAAATACTATAAATTATTAATGAAGCTAAAACTATTAAAGTGGTTTGTTATTTTGAATTCTCTTTTGGCATTCTTATTAAATCTTTATGGACATTTCCTCTCCTAATTTAATAAGACTATCTGATTCACAAGAAAGAGCTAATGTTATATCACACAAATGGAAATATAGATGAGCACACCGTAATACACAGTTCCCTGGTGCTATGACAATACTGAATTCAATATAAACAGTATAGTCTTTATAAAAGAAAATCCAACATTAAAAACAATCCCAAGTGATAAGGCTGCCTGGACTTGAAAACTTAAGAACAAATCTGAGTTCAGTCTATATTGTGTTGTTTTGCAATTTGCAGCAGATCTGAGGCAGTCTTCCTTTTGTGTGTTTTCCTGGCAGTGGTGGAACTGCCATTCATACATTTGAGTAACTCAATAATTATGCCTTGAGGGAACGTAAACTAGATTTTTCTTTTTAATGCTCCATACTTTCTTATTTTTGTCATGGATCGGAGTGGTTAGAACATGCTCTTTCCATTTTGACTTTTCCAAACTGTCAAATATATACATATATGTGCACATTAAAGAATAGTAATGAAATAAACAACTCTGCACCATGTTTACTTTCTGTATTACATCCTCTGATCCCATCATTTTTCTTTCCCTTGGAAGTAAGCACCATCTTGAACTTTGTGTTAATCATTTCCTTTCTTTCGTGCTTTCTCCATCAATGCAGGTATTTCTAAATAGCTTTTTTTTTTTTTCAAATTTCCTAGTTTTGAACTTTAATTAATGAAATAATACCAGGGCACTCTTCTATGAGTTGCTTCTTTTGCTCAATATTATGTTTTTGACACTCATCTATGCTGCTTTCAGTAGCTGTACTTGTTCATTTTCCAAACTAGATGGTATGCCAAGGTATAAACACAGCTCAGTTAATTCACTCTACTGTCGATGATATGTGCGCTATCTCTAACTAGAGATACAGGAAAAGTATCGCTATGAATAATCTTGTGTGTTACTTTTGCTACACATGCACAAGTGCTTCCCCTATATTTTACAAATATCTAGAAGAGAAATTGCTGGGTTGTAGGATATGCACAAGATAAATTTTACTAGTGAATGAATGCCAAATAAATTGTACCATTTGTACTTCCACCAGTTGTGAGTGAGATTTCCTGTCATTCTAGATCCTTATCAACAGTGGCACTGCCAGCCTTCTAAAGTTGTACCAAACTAGTAGGTAGAAATGCTATACCATAGTGTTGTTAATTTATATTAATTTGTCTATGTATGAGGTTAACCAGATTCTTTTACTAAGTGTATGTGTTGCAAAAAATATCCTTCTAGTTTGTGGTTGTTTTTACTCTTCGGGTGTTTTTTGATAAACATGAAGTTTTTACTTTTAACATTGCAAAATTACACATATGTATTTCCCTTTTATGAGTTGCAATTTTTCACCTGACTAGCTCACAAAAAATTATTTCCTATTAAGTCAAATTTTTCTAATTATAAATTTATAGTATTGTAGTATGGCTTTTCACATTTAACTCACGGGTAATTGGTTTATGTGTAGAGTCATAAAGTCGTAAACCAATTTCAATTTTTTCCCACATAAATAGCCATAGCCAATTGTCCTCCCAAATCATTTATTGAATAGCCCATCCTTTCCCCACTGATGAGTGCCACTTTTGTAATTTATCAAGTACTCTTTTCCTCTGATGCACTGTAATCTCATTAAGTTGTGTTTAGTTTTGAACTCTTATGGTTTAACTTTTGCAGAGTTCTTTAGAATTACTACGTCTGAGAACTGGTCAGTGTCTTTTAATAGTTCTAGAAATAAAATTCCCCTTTTAGTATTTCCCTGTATTACCTCTATTTGGAACACCAGTTAAACATATATTACATCTTTCCATTCTCCCCTCCTGTTTCCTATGTATTTTTACATTTTACATTATCTTATCCACATTTCCCCATCTTAAAATCTCTGGACTTTTTTATTGATAATTCCCGTAGTTCTAACTTTCAGTGTACTAATTCTTGCTTCATCTTTGTCTAATTTGCTTTTAATCACATCCACTGAGTTTTCTTATACTGTTGAGTGCTTATAATTTTATTTTGCTTCTTTTTCAAATCTACTTGTTCTCTCTCACAATTTACAGCTTCTCTTTTATGTTTTCAGTTATACTAAACATTGGCATTTTAATTCTCTTTGATAAATTTCATATCCGATACAACCCAAGACCTGTTTTTCTTATCTATGGTTTCTTCTGGTTCTTACCCATACTACTTTGTTCTCCTGTGTGTATTTTGTTTTTGTTCTATTTTTAGAATTAGCCACTCATTTTCCAGAAGGCTTTATCTGTGGAAATTCTTTGAGAACAGGATTGAAGCTGACATCTTTCAGGGAGGAATAATATTTTCTCATTTCCTACTATGATTGCTAATCTCAGAGCTCTTCAAATTCATCAATTACGTTTCTTTTTGATCTACACATATCTTGTAATTGCATATTTCTCCCTTTCCTGTGAGTTTAGGGTTGAGTTTAACCATTTTATAAAAATATTTTTAAAATATTTAACACAATGTTTTAATAGTTTTAATCAGAAGGGTTATTGAGGATATCTAATTTGCCATCATGCCAAAACAAGAACGGTACTCACATTTTGAGCATCTTTCCCCTCCTGTGTTTTGCTAACCCCTAGTTGTTGAGCTGTTGGAACAGGGCTGGCTTGAATTCAAGATTACTTCTCCAAGATTTCTGGTTTCAAAGTAATGACACTTCTGGGATCCATCACTGGGCTCTGGCAGAAATACAACTAGATGATCTCATCCCTCCCCAGAGGTAGACCTCAGATTGCAGAGATCCATTGGTACCAAAAAGAGTACAACATACCAGGAGTTTTTCATTTTTCACTTTTTGAAAAAGTTTTCTCAAAAGAAAATTGGCTTCAAAGAATTACCTATACACTCCCTACAGAATGTTGCCCATGTCCTACATTTTCTTGCTTCTTTTTTACTTCTTGGATTACCTCTCAGACTCTGAATTTTTCCATCATCCTTGCTTGGATTTGGTGACCTGTTCATTGACAGCAAGTTCTTCCCCTGGGTCTCGTCTTTCAGCTCTTTCTTTTCTCCACAGTAATTTGCCTTCCACTTACCTTTTTCTAGTTTGGATCACATTCCAATTGTTCTTTTCCTGAATCTTTGGGTTATCTCTAGCCATTCCTTGTTATCCTTAAGCACTCAACCTGTCTAGATCTATACATTTTAAAACTCAGAATTCAGAAGGGAATGTCTCCCCTTCAATGCATTGATGATTCAAACCAGATTGAGTCAAAACAGATGAACTCAAGCCAGATAGTTGAGAGGGTTACCTGAATTGGTCTTCCATCAGGTGTCAGCACCTCTTCTGAGAGTTCCATCATCTTCAAGGCCATCAGAGCAATGGGTTTAGCATGGCAGAGGCTTTTCCTATGGAGTCCTGCTGCAACACAGTAGGCATCACCTATTGTTTCCACCTGCAGCAATCAGACAAATCAAACGCGGACTTATAATGAGCCAGAAGATAAACGATTAGTTATCTGTCATCACAAATGTTGCTGAAAAACATGCCAGCAAAACATCAATAAATTAAGCAATTAGATAACGGTGTGTAATCACAGCAGAGTTTGCAAACAGCCACAGTCAAATACTGACATCTCACTCCAGGGCTGTTCATTAACACGATCACCATAGATGATCATCGAAATTAGGAACAACTGTAATATAAAATAATTATCCCCCACAAAAATAGAACTGTCAGTATGTTGCCTAAATAATTTCCAAATAATGACTTCTGCCAAAGCTACCCATTCAGCTCCTTCAAACTTCCAAGTAGTCCTTCTCCGGAAAGCACTTTTCCCTTGATTTTTTTCACCTTCCCAATTGCTCCACACTTTGAGATTTCAGTAAGTTGTGTTGAGGTATGTCTTTCCTTATTTTTGATCATTATAATACCTACATGTCTTGAATTCATACCATCACTACTCTGTGCACATTATGTACACAAAGTACAATGTGTACATTTTATCTTCACAAAATTCTCTATGAAAGAAACTAGAATTAGTTATGTCTGAGAGATAAAAAAATTGAGGTGTGGACAGCCATTCATAACCATAAAATTAAAGAGTTAACAGCCATGCAGGGGGTCTTTCCAGACCCTGCTGTACTTCTATTGTTAGCATTCATTTTGAATAGCTATTGCTGTTAATATTTTAAATATTTATCCCAGGTTAAAACTCCCAAATTTCCAAAGCACGGAACGTGGTCTAAAAGTTACACACAACTTATTTTCAGAGAAAAGTTCTCTAATTATTTACTAGAGATATGGTGGTAAAATTCTTAATACTTTTGATATTATCAATTAGACAAAAGTGATGAAACATTGTATTAAAGCCACAATGTTACCTTTTCCATGAAGCCTTCCATGGTCCTTCCACTAGGTCTCAGTAAAATAAGTAATCCTTTCCCCTCTATTCTGTTTCAGTAGCACTTTCCACATCTCTCTGCTATAATATTCATCACAGGATATTATCAATATTCATCTATGTATAATCAACATGTATCCCTGGTTATGATATGAGCTCTTTAAAAATGAAAATGAAAAATGTCTTTTTCATCTCTGTATTCATAGTGCTTAGCATAGGGTCTAAAATACAGCTATTCAATAAATATCTACCAAATGAATAAATATGTCAACTAACCATGTTCACCATGACTACAATATCAACCATTCTAACTGTATGTTTATTTTCACCATTCATTTTATTAGCACCATGTAGATTTGTGTGCTATGTAGATATAGGAGGGAAAAGTCCCGATAACTAGAAATGCTTCTATCATAAATATACCAAGAATACTATTATAAAGACTGTACTGCACGAAATGCCTTGAGCACTAATTTAGGGAATATTATGAGAACACTTAAGAAGCTCATGGGATTAAGACTGCCAAACTTATCATTTATCAGGAAATAGGCATCAAAAATGATTCAAATACCCCCAGACCTATCATTACATTCAAAATTTTCACTTCAAGACCTGTCTTCTGATGCCAGAAAAATGGAAATAAGACTATACTGTAAGAATAGAAAGACAATGCAATGTGAGTTAACAAAGGTTTTATTCCAAAGACTAGAATATTTTTCCCCTCCATCCTGGAAAGAATTCTCACTGAAAAAAATGCCGGCAAATAATAAGTATCTAAAGTGTGGCTATTTACCATTTTTCTCCTAATAACACAGTGCCCTTTGCTAATTCTCACATTATCCCATACTTTCAGATTTCCATATACAATTTTAAAATCTAGAATGCTGTTAGTGATGTCCTTTAAAATTGATTTCTGATTTTCAGATATCATAACGCATAGGCAGCAAATTAGTTGACAAATTAAAAGGCTTTGGAGTCACTCTGAGCATATATGTTTCTAGAGCACAATCTCTTCCTGGAATTTCTATCATTATCGTCACCATCATCATTATCATCCACAACCTCATCCACAATCCAGAAATAGACATCAAAAAAGCAATGACACATATTAAGATGTGGAATTCTCACAATTATTCATAAACACCCAACAGAAGAAGAAGAAAAAAACTAGAAGACGTTGTTTTCACAGGGTAGACTAGATTATGCTGCAATAACAATAAATTCCCAAATCTCAATGCACAAAACAGCAAATGTTTATTTTATACTCATGTAACATATTCCTGCTGGTTAAGGGATTGGGATGGAGGGGAAAAACTGTGTCACATCTCTTCACCCTGGGAACAAGGTTAGTAACACCTCCACATCTGGAGTTAGTTGCCATGGCAGAGGATAAAAAGGTTCTGACTAATTTACAGGGGCTCTTAAAGCTTTCTTCCAGATGTGACATATATATAACTTCTCATGATTCATTCACCAAAGCAAGTCGCCTGATATTCTTAATGTAAAGGGAATGGGAAAATGCTAACTACCTTGTGCCCAGAGAATAAGAGTCAGAAATATTTGGGAAGTAGCATTAATGAGGACAAAAGTGAATAGGTAATCACTCAGAATTTTTCAAATACCCAGATGTCTGTGAAGCTGTATAATATAGCTGTGTGATGTTTTTCTTTCCAGATATATTCATCATCTTAACCTGAAAATCTTGGCAGAAACACTACCACCTTAGTAACAGCTTTCCTTGAATGCTCCATTTTTCTCTCTTCTCCCTTCATCTAAGGCAGCTCTACATAAATGTAGCAAAATTAAAGATATGTAGAAGTTTTAGTGGATCCTTTCAAAGTACTTAGTTGTCTTTGCTTCATGAGAAACAGGGAAGGTGAAAGCATTTCTCATGAAGCATTTCACCCATTTCAATTGCTCTTGAGGCTATTTTTTTGAGTTAAACCATATGGCACAAGTGGACATTGTAAACAGACTACAAAGAAACTGTCCAAAGAGTTGGCTGTGTTCTGAATTCCTTTACAATTGCCTCCGTGTTTTTACATAGTTTTAAATACAACAGAGAGAGTCTAAAATAGTGTATCTCATTTATTCTCACCATCTCCCACCTGTTCTTGAATGGCATTGAATAAAGATGGCTCAACAAAGTGAGGAGAGGGAAAAAGATAATGGTTATGCAAATGTATGAAAAACCTTACATTCTTTTCTAAGCATAGAAGAGGAGGCTTAAGTACTAAAAATATTATGTATAACTGCTGCCTTGCATATTACTACAACTGCTTTTATCAAACTTTAAAGAATTCACCTGTCTCAGTACATCTTTTCTCAACACTGTCTAATCAAAATCCTTGCATTATTCCAGAAATAAAGTTGGTATATATACATTTCTTAGACATGTGTTTTTACTTCTTTTATTTATTTTATTTTAGTCTTAGGTTATTTGAAAGAATTTATTCTAACCCCTAATGGAATCTCATTCCCATAACATTCTTCTCCCTGCCCTCCAAGCTAATGATTTAAAAAATCTGGGAAGTTTCTTGGACATTTGTACACGGAAGGAAGAAGGAGTGGGAGTGGGGGATTAGTATTGATGATAAGATTAGCAAAAAAGAACACTGCATGCAATTGGACAATTAACCATCCTTGTCCAATGGGACTCATGACCACCTAAATCCTTCAATTCCACAGACCTAGGTCTGTCTCCCTTTGAACCTTCCAGGGGGCATAAGAGCAGAGGTTCAGAGAGCTCTGGTAGTCTATGTTACTGGACAACCTCCTTTTCTCCCCTGGCATGTAATCAAGAGAAGCAAATTAGAAAGTCTGCTTTTCTAATGGCTTTGTTTTCTGTTTGGGGGTTTTAGTGTCTTAAACAAAAGAAGAGAGAGAGAGAGAGAGAGAGAGAAGAGGGATGATGCTGGAGCGAGATGTAAGCAGATATAAATAAAGATGAGCAAAGCTTTCTTTTCTAAAGATGAGCAAAGCTTTCTTTTCTCTCCCAGTATCTCACAGAGTGCCTGGGCACCTGGTCATGCTCAGGTAGGTCAAAGGAGGTTAACAAATGTCCCATGTTCTCCCTGGGATCACTAGCTTTGGCTAAGAATGCTTGGTTCTTAGAAAGAATGTGACAATCATTCTTTCCGAAAGGACTGGCTGCCCAATCATCTAACATTTGGTGTGGTTTCTGGATGACAGGGAGGAGGGGAAGAGTAGATGAGTTTTCCAATGGTTGCCTGAGAGTCTGAGTCTACAAGCAGCTGAGTAGGTCTTTATTGACTAGAAACCAAACAGTTGGGTCAACAGTTATTACAGACAAGATTATCCAAAATGCTGATCAGGAAAAACAAAAAAAGAAAGCATGGGTCAGGTCTTCATGGATACTTACCAGTAGCAGAAGAGCACGAAAGAACGTGGACTTGGATAGATTAAGAGATCCTCTACATTTTGTCCTTTACCTCATATATACACAGTGACTCTCTACTGTTTATGTTCCTGTTTTGCCAGATACTCAGCACAGTGGGTGAAATGGGTTCCTAGCCATAGATGAAAATCTAGGTGGTGGTAGCCAATCGAAGGTCTTAGGTCCATGAGATCTGTATCCCATGGATATATTCAAAGAGAAGCAGTTTGCCATAGACAGTAAGCATGAACCCAGTCTTTCATTGTTCTTAAGGTTGCACTGATCGTGAAGATACACTGATCCTCCTTGAGGATGGCTCATAAAGATGCAGATCAAAAAGAGGTGGGAAGGCCCTAACACAGACAAGGGTTCAAGTCATGCAGATAAAAGCAATGCAGTCTTCATCATTTTCTTGACTTGGACAAAGTGATGACCATGCCCATAAAAGCCACATTCTTGAAACTGGACCCCTGAAAATCCAGAGGAACCAAGATGCAGAGAGGTCAGCATGCACACATCACTGTTGGCCAAGCACAGACCTAACAAAGATGGTGGATGATCTGGAAGAGGGGCAACTTCCAAAGGTAGGAGTTAGCTACACTGACACCAAACTGGGATGAGCATCTCCATGGCAGCCCTGCTGAAAGTAACTTGG